CGAACCGTTGTTATCCCTACTTTTTAGTTACCTATAAAAATTTTAATATATACGTATGAGACATAAATCTCAATAAATGAGTAATAACGAATTTCATCTTATATTTAAATACGGAAAATCATAACATACATATGGAGACACGGAGAATTAAAATCCGAATTTCATGGTTATAATTCATGTACGTAGCGCTACTAAACTCTGATCCTTTGAACTTACACATATAGGACTCTTATCATAATCATAAATTGGATTTCCGTATAATCATATTCATAATATAAATCTCCATAAATTAAATAATGAAAGAACAATATGTACTACTATATTTACTGTTGTATGGAAGAAGATCAAAGTAAATCAAGAAAATCGTCTTGTTAGACTTTCACTTCAAAATTTCTTGGACACTGTGCATGCTAAACTATGTAATGTGAAAGTATATGTAGAAAATGAGTTAAAAGAAAAGAAGGTATAAAGTACAATCTTAGTTGTGTGTGAGTGCAAGTGGTATGATGGGGTTTAAATAAGGATCTCTTAGGTTTGACTCTATTATCTATTTTAATAAAAAAATTCATTCCCTTATTAATATCACACGTTTTTCCATGCAGACTGTAATAAAAGACTCAACTTATTACCCCAATTAACTACATTAATAAATATATAATTGCTACTAATAATTTATTGCTATATAATTAAACATTTGATTTAAATTATGCCAAAATAAATATTCTAACATACCATATAAAAATATTAAATTGCTAATTACACAAGCATAAATAATGTTTCTAATTTTAATAAATGAAAATCTCTCTAATTATATTAATTAACCAATTAATAGGTTAATTGACATACAATATTTAAATCGGTCATATACTCATATTACTAAGATTTAGGCGGAGTAATCTGCACATGTATAAAAGAAATTGCTCTATGATCCTACACTATTAGTCAACATTAAATTAGGTCTTTAAAGAAAAAAAAAATCTTACTTCTAGCCACTAAATTCAATTCTAATGTCTATTTAAATTGTTTCCGAATGTTACATACAGTATGGTTCAGACAGACTAACCCCTAGTTCCCTCTGACCTTCTTCATGTAATTACCTTGACCCTCATGGACCGCGTGTTCCTCATACCAGCTCCCAATCCCTGGTATCGTTTATCTCATATGGACCTTCAAGAACGAACTTTATTATTTAACGTTGGAACTCCAAGTGCCTCTTCCAAAAACTCCAGCAACTCTAAAGGCTAATTAGGGAAGTAAGGTTTTGGTGTTTGATCAATGATATTTTATCTTATGATATGTGGTTTAATGTAACACTTTATAGCGTTACATAATTAACACATAATTTTAAAATACAGCTTCAACCTTTTATTCATGTTTCACTATTATTAGTCATAGGATTTCAACCTATTAGTAGTGGTGCTGGTATGGGGGGAGGGGGAGATATGGTTGGTAGGAAAGAACGAGATTTTTTTTTAATTATTTATTTGAGACTCGTTTGCATCTTTTTGAAAATTTTGGGACTATAATTGAAATTAACTCTCTCTCTCTCTCTCTCTCTCNTCTCTCTCTCTCTCTCTCTCTCTCTCTCTCTCTCTCTCTCTCTCTCTCTCTCTCTCTCTCTCTCTCTCTCTCTGTTTTATTTAGATAGGAATGTATATTCGTCATTTTCATCAAACTTATTAAGAAAATTGAAGAACATAAGGTCTTCTGCACCTCAATAAGGATTTATTGTTTTCTAAAAATATTTAAAAAGAAAAAAAAAACTGTATTCCACATATTGCTTCATTTTGGAATACTAGGTAGTTATTTACAGACATTTATGAAAAGATTATCTTAAATGAAGATGAATTGAATATTTAATACACATAAATATTTAATCAATAACTAATAAATGGCTTACACATAATTAAAATAAAAAATATATAATTTTAAAATAAGATATAAAAATATGAAATCAAAATGTAACTACTATAGTTAATAAGCCCTCATTTGATTTTCATTATTTCAAAATTCATTTTTCCTTAAATGTATTTTAATTCAGGAATTCTTCAATAAAATATTTTGCAAATAAATTTAAAACTTTTTTCCCGATTTTTTAACTATACATTCTCTAAAATTTACTATTACAAAATGAGTTTCAATAAAATAATGAGCATCACACATAGGGATGATAAAATGGTTCGTTGGCTCGGCTCGAGGCTCGGAACCCCATTTTGGGGCAAAGGTACTAGTCGAGCCTTTTTAAAAAAAAAAAAATGAAAACAGCAATTGTAGCTTGTATGAGGAAAAAAAAAAAATGAAACAAGCATGCATGTTGCAAGAAGAGCCGAAAGCTCGGTTAGAGCCTCAATTTTTTTGTCGAGCTTTTGCTTGGCTCGGCTCAAAAAAAAAAAAAAAAAGCTTCAACTTTTTTTTGCTCGAGCTCTTCGAGTTTCGGCCAGCTCGGCTCGTTGACATGGTTAATCACACATGGGCTAAATGAGTTCAAATAAAAATATGAAAATAACTAATGACAAAAAACTTAAAAGTTTTAATTGTCTTAAAGACAACTTTTATACTTCAAAAAAATAAAATAATGATCCACCAATCTAATCATTGAACCAATGCTCCAACCACTGTCTCGGTGATTAGGGGCACATCGCAACCCGTTAGTTTTTTTTTTTTGCCCTTTCAATTTTTTTTGTGTGATATTTTTTTATCTGAATTTTTTTTATAAATTAATCTCCCTTACCAGACATAATTTGCCACAATGTTTGGTTGACACTGATATGGGAGTGTGATCCATGTGAACAAAAAATTTCAAAAAAGTACTCCCCCATCTCTTATTGTGAGTATGTTGTCAGTGAGGATTTGAGAACAACATTGTTTTTTTTTATATAGTAGTCTGCCTTAAATTGTTTTGAGTCCCGTCCTAACTCTATTCCTATCGATCATGCAATGCCTCGACCTAAGCGGATCAAATAACTATGGTACATACATATAATTATTTAATTTTCTAAATTTTACCTACACAGTAGCTTCTGTTTTGAAAAAAAAAAAATTAATTTATAGTCCCCGTTTTATAGATATTAAAATCAATATTTTAATTTTAAGTCAAAAAGATTCAAAATTTTTCAACAAAATATTTCATTAAATTTTACCAAAATCGAAACATAAGCATAAAACTTTATTTTCAATTACATATTTTAATTAATTAATAAGTACTATTCACCACTTATTTTTATTCATTTATAAATTTAAGGTTTATAAATTTTTTTCCAAAAAGGGTTTAGCCCTTGTTTGACATACATTAAAATTTTTATTTTTATTTTTCTACTCATTTTCAGGTACACATTTTTTAATAAAATAATATTTTTCATTTTATCAATAGTTTTTCCTTTTTTTTCAACCATACATTTTCCATCATTCTATTATTTCAAAATAATATCCATAAAAAACACTCTTAATTTGTGAATTGTGATAAGGATCTAAACACTAGCATAGCATCTAACCTTACAAAGTAGGCAAAGGCATTTTGGTGTGACACGTATCTCCTGACACCACAGTGACAGCTAAGCATTAAACACGTGTGAAGGGGTCCAGCCTGGTTTATTGTCCCCACGCCAAGGGTTACCCCACCAACAACCACCCATAAAGCAGCGGATGCAGCGGTGGTGGGGGACCCTAGACTGCGGCGCAGCCTCGAGATAAGGGCGGGGTCCACTATTGAAGCCTAAGAAGTAGTGGCCCACATTAAATCAGAAAACTTTGTGCCACGCTCCACAACCACTTACTTTTTTCTGCATTTGACTGTCCCACCACTCTAAGCGGTGGACCACATGTGGGGCCCACTCCCACGTGCACTATCCTCAACTCACGTGCATTTCCAACCGCACGAGCCCATTAATCCCACTTGTTTCTAAGTTCAACTTTATCTCCCCCACTTTTTTGAGATTTAAGAAGAGCAACTTTGCAAGAATTTAAAATCCAATTATATCATCAGTTAGTAGTCGTTTTGGACACAACATTATTCGTGAATATGTTAGTAACCTTGTTGAGCAGTGCTAAACTTACCGAAAATGGTTGACAAACACTTTGATCGAACACTTTCAATATGGGAAGGGCCCACTTTTTTTTTTTTTTGGATTTTTTTATTCATGCGAGGCCCACGCGCATGTGAGAGGTTGTCAAATTCATTGCCAACCATTTTCGGTACAAATGGAAAAACCCAACCTTGTTGGCCTACCAGAGATTTTACTTTTGCTAATTTAACAAATACTATTTTGGTCAAAATTCAGTGACAATCGAAGAGCAATAGCAGATTCAGGCCTCCTTAATTCAACTTTAAAAAGCTCCATACGCAATAGCGTGGTGATTAAGGCAAACAAAATAAATAATAACACAAGTTCTTTCCTAGTATATCCAAACTAAACTCACGATAACAAAAGCACGAAAAAGACCCCCTTTTAGCGCTTGCCTCCTGATTTGTGGTATTGAAGCTCACCTTATAAAGGAAAAAGGAAAAAGAATGAATAGAATGTTCGGAAAAAAAAACTAGCCAAGTTTCTTTTCAAGCGAAGAAGGGAGACTAGCAAGCGTAAAATAGAGAATGGTTCAAAAAGCAATTCAATTTTAGATAAATAACTAAAAGTTCAAATCGATAAAACAATATAAGATGCATTTAGGTCACACACCAAGAAATGTTCACCTCAAATTGCGTACTCATTTCTTTTATACACACAAGTAAATTTTAGATTCTTTTTAAAATCATTGATGGGTATGCACATAGACTAATCAAAAATAAAATAATTGAATTTCATTAGAGAGATGAGTTTCTTTTAACCCGAAAAGTAGAGTTACATTTGCACCAATGAAGGATCATTTACAAATTAAACGTTAAACAGGAGAAACGCCAGTTACACCCTAAACAGAGCAAAAAGGCTTGAGAACTGCTAGCTAATTCATGGTTAAAAACTTAAAAGCATTAAAAATCTATGGGCTAAAACCCTAATCTTGAGTCATCAAGGTTTAGAAGATGGGGTCTGTTCATGATTTCCAGATTCTGAACCGGCCATAAACTGAAGCTCCTTTTTGTCATAAATCTCCAGCGAAAAGTCCCTAAGCATTTGCGTACCAGTTGCTACTGTGGTTTTACTCGTTACAGAGCTTGAACTTGGTGCCATTGTTGTTGAAATTGAAATCTTTCCACCAGAGTTTTCACCGCTTTCAGTGTTATCAGTAGATGCAACCGCACCACCAACTACGGCGGTTGGATTAGTGGTGGTGGTGGTGGTGGTGGTGGTGCTAGTACTGAAACTCATGTTCATTCCCGCTTGAATTGCCGAAACGAAATTCGAGATGGGCCTCCCAGAAATGTTGAAAACCGGTGTTGCTGTGGCAGGTATGGCCCAAAACTGGGGTTGGTTTGACGGCCCAGCAGCCGTGATGGTTGCGGTGCCACCCGTAGGCGGGATCATGAAAAATGTGCCGGTTGGGAATACCGGAACAAGCCCTTGCGGTGCAATGGGTGCCACAGGGGCAAGATTGGAGGAATCAGAGACATCATAAAACTCACTGCTTTGAGGCCTTTTACGTCGCTTTCTAGCTTCATCTCCGGCAGCTTCTGGGGAGGTGGAAGCGGTGCTGGGTGTCGTAGGGATTTTTAGCGTGCCGTTGACGGAGACTGCGATGGCCGGAACGGTTCCGGTGCCGGTGGCTTCGATTATGGCGGGCTCAGCCCGTTCAAGAAGCCAGCGGATTGTCTCTCCGTCGGACTTGTGGCCTAGCTCTCGCGTCAGTTGGAAGATTCTGGCAGCGCAAGCCGCTGGCATGCGGATTCTCCTACCACGGCCCTCAACTTTGGTGTGGCGATCCTTGGTGGACCTCTTAGGTGGCGCCGCCACCAACGCACCCGTCGGTGGCGGAGGCGATGGTGTCACTGCGAGGGACCTCTCTAAGTCTGCCGGCTCTTCCTTCAAAAGTGGCATGATGCCGGAGGACGGCGGAGGCAAGGGTGTTGGCGACTGATTTGGTTCCGCCGCGTCAGGCGGAGGACCAAAGGCGGTGATTGTGTACTCGTGGGGTTCACCTAAAAGAGGGTCGGAGGGGAGGGTGGTGACTTCATCGTGTTCTTGCCGTTCAATATGGGGCGGCGAGTGGTGGTGTTGGTGGGACTGCGAGTGATGGTTGCGGTGAATGGATGCCATGCGTGCCTTTTTTCTTAAGAGGAAAAATATTTGGACCCACTTTTATCTAATATGTGATGCGAGAAAGGAGGGACCCCCACGAAACCCTATATATTATGGTGGGGAAGCATTTCAACGGTGGAGAAATGCCAAGTTATTTATATAGCCTTAGGATGGTGACACGTGCTGGGCTACAAAATTAGGGTTGGAATGTAATTAACTTGGTCAAACCTTAGGGATAACCATAGATTTTGCCAATTTTATGGTTCTCTTTTCCTCTTTACAACTTCAAGTAGGATGCTGTGAATATTTTGAAATATTTTCACAATCATATTTGGGTTATGCCTAATTTTTTACATAATTTTTTACCTACATTCACAATAGGATGTGGGGACCACACATTTGAGAGTTTTTTATTCACGCGGGCCCGCGCGCATGTGAGAGGGCAGCACATTTTTGATAGCCCTCATTCGATACAAATGGAATTATCTATCATATTTTGGATGTAAAGAAAAATAGTCACCGTTTGGTTTAAATAAAAAGTCAAGTTAAAATTTATAGTTAAATTAAGCTACTCATTCTATTAATTTAAACTATGCATTTATAAAATTAATTACTTTATCAATTTTTCAACCACATATTTCATCAATTTTCATCAAAATTTATTAAAAATAAGAATTTTTGGCAAAACCAAATAGAGACTTAGTTTGGTCTTTAGAAATATGAAAGATTAGATGCAAGAAATATATTTTTCAAAGTTTAGAAAAGAAATTATTTTTCAATATAAATTAATAATGATTAACTACACCAAACAAGGGTATATGAATATGATATTGCAACAATTTTTATTACTAGATAAAATGGATTTCTCAATTGTCTTTCATTTCAAGGTATATATTGTATTTGCACGCTTCATATTTTTCTAAACTTTGCTCTTAAAAATATTGTCCTCTCTATTCTTCACGCTAATTCAACAAGCCTCTTAAATCGAGAAATATAATGTCACATTTTAAATTGATTTTAGATATTCTATAACTTCGTGGGGCTTATTTTTTACCAACGAAATAATTTTATATATTGATCATAAAAGGTGCCCTCCCTACAAACAACCTACTTTTCTCTCAAAAACTAAAAATTACCTCCTTTTCCTATCGTCTTACCGCTGTAGTCATCACCGACTACCATCGGTGTTGGATGCAGACATTTTTAATTAGGGAACACATTCAAACTTTTATATCGAACAAGTTGATAAAGAAAAATAAATATAGTATCTTCTTAGCCATGATCATTGCATAGAATGATAAACCTTAAGACACAAATGCAAATATAGTATGGCAATTATCAAATTTGTTCATTCCAAATCATATATTTATTAACCTGTAATGTAGGCATTAAATTTATAGTAGAGTAACGGACGTTGAGTTACAGGATATAATAAATGAGGTGTAAAATATTAAGCAAAGAAATTATAGACTTTGAAAAAAGAGTAATGCTACTTGCAGTCGCTCACTGTAATTGTCGCCCTTTGTGGCACACACATGACATGTAGTTATTTGATACATTAATGTACCACATTAATGTATCAAATAACTACATGTCATGTGTGTGCCACAAAGGGCGATTGCTGCAGTGAGCGACTGCTGCAGTGAGCGACTGCAAGTAGCATTTTTCTTGAAAAAATAAGGTTTTTAACCATATAATTGAAGGAGCATAACTGCATGTTATTACGATTAAAGCAACTCGTGACATTGTTGCACAATTGTCTTCTTTATAAATACCACATTAATGTATCAAATAACTACATGTCATGTGTGTACCACATAGGGCGACAGTTATAGTGAGCGACTGCAAGTAGCATTTTTCTTGAAAAAATAAGGTTTTTAACCATATAATTGAAGGAGCATAACTGCATGTTATTACGATTAAAGCAACTCGTGACATTGTTGCACAATCGTCTTCTTTATAAACCATTTATAAATTTGTCAAAAGGGAGGCTAAACCTTTAACGTAAGCCATCTAGCACTTTGTAGAAACACAAATCAATGAAATACAATTTGAACTTTTAGCATTCAGTCAAAACTGAAATAATATAGTCTGATTATCTTTTTAGAACGATATTTAATTTTAACATCAAATCAAAACAAAAAACAAAAAAAAAAGGGCAGAGAGAGAGAGCAAATATTAAACGCTATTCACCAGTTTAATTTTTTTTCTCTGTTCATCCTCCTGTTTTTCTTTATGTATAAAATTTGAAACCAATGAAAGTGGATTAGGAAATAAACGTTAATAAAATTATTTAAAGCCGTCCCACCAACCCACCGCCTATCTTCTTGCCATTTTCAATTTTTTTTTGTTTGACCAAGTTTTTATTAATTAACTAAAATTTGACCAATGTATTACATTTTTTCATATATATATATATATATAGAAAAAAAAGTCAAAAAACTGGTGGGGCATGTGACCACCATACCCCACCGCTACTAACCACCACTACATGACCACACACACCATGAGCAACCACGAGCACCACTATAAAACTCTTGAGCCACTGTTGCTGCACCTTAACCACCTTCGTCTCCATTTATAGTCTCCAGCCAAATCTCAATTTTATGGCGATGATATTGATGGTTTTAGAAGCTGGAGTTGGTGTTCAAAGAGCTTGATTTTGAACGTGTTTGTAGTGGTTGTTGGAGGATTGGTGCATAATTTTATTCCTTTCAACCAAGAACACGTGCTCGTAAGTACGATAAAATCTTGACTTATTGGTGCAAAATATTGGATAGAGTTTTGATTTTTTGAAATCAAGAAGGGAGCATAAAAATATGTACAAATTGCGTAAAAATTATGAGGAGATCAAATGAAGTGAGGTATGAAAATACAAATTTCCTTGAAATATATTCACCCTCTTCATTTGTGCTAATATGATCAAATCGATGTCTGTCCTCAAGATACAACGCTATCTTCAAAATTATTATAACATAATATTAATTTTGTCGAGTGAATCATAGTGTTGAGAGTATTCTTCATGAACGGAATAGACATGAATTAAAATTGATTGAACGTATTTTTATTTTAAAAAATATTTCGAAAGGAATTTAATTTCAGCAAAAATAAAACAACATAATATTTTGAAGAGAGAAGAAAATCTAGAAATCATTTTTTCTTGAATTGATTTGGTGTAAGAAACATGGAACTAGATGTCTTTATTTATAAATTTTCAAATGGCTTTTCGGAATTGGTGCTTCTTTTGAAATAACTTAATGTTGATAATTAAATCACGTGTTTTCATATTTAATGGCCTAGATTGCACCCTATCAAAAAATAGTTACTTTTCATTATGTACCTTTTTTAATAGTCACACCTTATCCAAAACAACATAACTCTTCAATATACATCCTTTGCATTTGAAAAATCACGACTAACCATCGCATGGGTATTGTACTATGGTCTTTTGCC